TCATCATCATCATCATCATCATCATCATCATCATCATCATCATCATCGCTTCTCTCCCTTCCAAGTCCCGACCCCACCGGGACATGACCCTGAGGTCCTGACCGCCGTGATTGCCGGAGCACCTGCCTCGCTCATGCGAATCCTGGTGAATGGCAAGGTGCGAATTGCTCGCTTGGTCGAGGGGCCTGGGCACTGGTACGGGAGGTTTCTGAGGTGAGATTCCTTGGCGGTTGGCCTTCAAAGTGAAGGGACCTTGCCCTCAAGATCCAAAACACCAAGTGAATGTGGTCGCTTCATGATGATTCTTTCCTTCCTTCAGGACCCCAAATCCTCAAATACCTACTGTAACACCCCCAAAACACCATGACGACCACGCACCATCAACACATGATCATGTTCCTCAAAAGGAAGATCCGCGCTTCGCTACTCCATCCGCTTCGCTGCAGGTCGTCGCTCAGAAGCCCTTGTCCTTCACCGGCCTCGATCCAGCGAAGCCGTCGGCGGTACCCAGCGACGGAAGATCCGTGATCGCTTCAACAGGTGAAGACGGTACCCATCTCCCCAAGCGACTGAAGCCGCTTGATGAAATGATCAGCATCCAAGCTTGATGAGGAACACTCAATGTGGGGAGATTGAACAAGGGAAGTATTGAAAGGGAATTTGCACATGAGTGGTCTCCATTTCTATCGGCTCCAGCCACAAGTGGCACGAAACACGAAGCGCCGAGGCTCTGGGGGTTGATCGACATAGAAGGGTCCTGCGTCAGACCGGCCCGTTTTGAAGATGAGAGGATGGGATCAGAGACGGTGATAGACAGGATGCCATGTTTGGGCTTCAAGATGCATGGATTGTTCACCTACTGCTAAAAAGATGGAGAGTGTCTCTTTTCGGCATCATGTGTATATGCGAGGGTGTGTTTGACAATGTTTGACAGAAGGAGTGTGAAGGAAGTGATCGATCTCAAATGGATTTCTTTGTGGCATTCGATTGTATGGCATAGTTATTGTCCCGAAAGCTCCCAGTGCTGCAACTGGGCAGGGCCTGAGCTTCAAAAGCCAGCGGAGAAAGAGACACGTTGGAAGCTTTGACATTCCTAAGTCTGAAGTGCTCCAGCGTACATCAACTACTTCAAAAGGCAGTTAAAATAGTGTTAGAATATATTTCATTACTCACCTATCTCACACCTTTGAGAAGATGGAGGTGTTTCAAGGCGTTGGATATGAACCGCTTCACTTCCGGTTCACCACGACTCGACGACTCCACGACTCGACTCGTCGACAGTACAAGCTACACGAGCGAAAATGGACGGAGGTTTCAGCTGATATCGAGGGTTATCCACAACTCTCTCATTATCCGCTGATAGCGCGGTATCTACTACCATCCAAGATTATCACAGCATCCAGGATCAATTACAGTATCCAGTGACCTCCAGTTCCAAAAAAGTCATTTTTGGTTAAATATGGATCATGTTCTTATACCCCTAGGTCTCCCCAGATTATTGATACCCCCACGTATCATATGTCAAAGTTCTCCAGTATGTTTGGT